CCATGACGATATTATTTATTTACTTATCCTACATGTCTTTCTATGATTATTTATTCGTGGAATTTGTGATCTCTATGCCTGTTCTTTTCTTTTTTATCTAAGCTGAAAGTGTGAGGAAATTTTCGAGAGAAATTTTCCAAAAGAAGGAGAGCAATATTCTTACTTCGATGTAACATTCCATCACTTTTAAAATTTAACTTAAACCTTCCGGTGAGAGGAAACGTTTAGCTCGGTATGTGAGAGTTACTTTCTAAAGAATTATCAACAGTTTCGTGTTCTCTTCTTTTTCCCCCGGGATCAGATAGAAGAATAATTTCGTTCGAGTTATTCAATATTGAAAAATATTCGATATACCGCACGAAAAATATGAACGGAAACGAACTTCAATCGGAGTTAATCCATTAATAATTTAATTAGTGTTTTCCATCAAATCAACTTTCATTCGACAATTCGACCTATGATATTATTCGAATCCAGTGATTCTTAAATAACCAGAATTCCAAGTCGATGTCGTTTCATTCTCGCTATCGCTTGTGCATCAAGAATTTTATCCATGTCGATCAGTGAGCACTTCGGGCTCGAAAGTGGCGTTCGAGTCGCGCGTTTAAGTTATGCGTTCTTAAATATCTGTACAATATTAGACAGTTCATATCTTCGGTATCAGACGGCAGAATTTCCAATCGTTTTCCAATGCCTCCAGTCTGGCGCCAATAGATATTTCCATAATATTCGTACTTAATTTATGTTAGCTTTACGGCCTGTGTTAACAGATCCGCTTATTCGTGGGTATTTTATTGGTCACACTCGCGTATCTCGCATTTTTTCTTTTTTTTTTTTTTTCTTCTCCTTCAGTCCTACGTTGTCAACGTGCTAGGTGTGTATCATTTTTCATCGCCACGATCAGGTTAGTTATCGTCTACTGCACACATACGTGATCCTATTAATAGGAAGATCGAGCAGCGAAAAGATCCATGAATAAGACAATTTGAAAAAGGAATGACAAAGTGGAGCTTGTTACAATTTCTTTGGAAAATACGAGTACAGTTCAAATTCAATGGATACTTAAGGCTCTTCAAACAAAATTAAGATCTCTAATTAATTATCTCGCTGAGACGAGAGACGAAGAATGTTTAATTGTCAAAGGAAGGGAAATTAATATCGTAATTTTAATTAATTAAAATTAATTTAATTTAATTAAGTTTTACGTGAAGATTATAAAATTTTAAATTTCACTTGCGAAGGGAATAACTGTTCGATCAAACGTCTGAAGCATTTCGTATTGTCACCATCTTCTTTTCGAGGACTGTCATTTTTACTTCATTCGATTCCTTGCTTCGTCTCACGCAAACTGATTTTACGGAATGCAAACTTCTCCGTGGCTACCATCCCCGCGAAACGATTAACGTTCCTAACAAGCGCAAAAGTGTTCCAAGAAACGGGGAAACGTCACGACACCTCGGATCGTAAAAATACAAGATTGGAATTACTTTGCAATCACACCAATTGTCGCTTAAATGGAGAGACGATTATTTCTTGGATATTCTTACAAGGAAACGTGTCCCTTCGGCAACTCGATTGGTCACTATTTCTTTTTCTTTTTTTTTTTTTTTTAATATCATTCTGTTTCGGAAATAAGAAATTTTAATTTGTCTGAGAAAGTGTTGCATACTTCTGCAGTATATTAAAGAAAAAATATTCATCCCAGATATTAAAGTGTAAGTTTCAAAGAATTTTGGTATGCCATTGATGTTTAAAATTCGTATTAGTAATTGTATATAATTTCGATTTTATATAGAGTTCATATATAATTTTGGTAATCATTGCTCCAAGTGAAGTTAGATTTTATCTCATTAGTAGAGAAATTTCCAGAAATTAACGTTCATTTCGATCAAGTCCTCTTTTCGAAAGAAATTTTGCTTTTCCCTTTTCTGACTAATTATTAATGATAGAAACACGTCTTCTCGCGATCTTTCTTCAAAGGCAATAATAACAGTTTTGCCAAGAAAACGTCTTCTTAGAGTAAATCACAACGCCAAATAACGTGAAATAATTCAATTAAAGAAATAAATCGAAGAAATTTTTTGACAACCAGCAACTTTGTAACGGATTGTTACAAAAAAAAATAAAATTACTAAACAACATCGATATCAGAATTTATGCGATACACATTGAACACTTCGAAAGCAAGGACCTACGATACGAATATAAAGATCCCAGCTGAATAAGTTTGTTTTTGTATTGGTGACGATGCTATTGCAGGAATACCCGAATGGCAATAAATTCATTCTGATTTCGACGTTTATGCGAGTACTCGTGCAATCGTGGTATTGGATATTTCTATCCAGCCATTGTCTCGCGTAGTTTGTTCGTCTATTTCGAGGCTACGCGAACCGGAATGCATGTACGTCTTATCCGATGAGATCTGTCCATCGTCGCTAGAAGCAAGGTGCATTCGACAAGAAAGGAAAAATCGTAACGACGGGCGAAAGAAAGAAACGCGAATGAGATATTGGTGACATTTGGCTTTAAACAGCGATGTCTATTACCTGTGAACGATAAAATCGTTTTTAGATGGAAATGCAATTGTATGCGATAATATAGTTCCTGTATTATACATAACGTTTTATATATATATATATATATATATATATATATATATA